TATTTCTAAATCAGTTATCACCTAACGTCAGTTTACGCAAACGAGCTTTCCTCTAAAATTTCCCCTAGAAAACACTAGCATGGTCTCTTTGACACTCTATTCATTAGAACCTGCTTAAATGAAGGTGTGCTGTCTGTATATACAGTTTGTTTAACGCACACGCACGGAGAGAGAGAGAGAGAGAGAGAGAGAGAGAGAGAGAGAGAAAGCGGATATTGTTTAATTTTAAACATATATATATAATATATATATATATATATATGTGTGTATATATATATATATATATATATATATATATAGAGAGAGAGAGAGAGAGAGATAGCTAAATGCCACTAATAACACTTCTTGCAAAAATAACACATAATTTATAATACTACCCTACATCAGTCTTTCTATTAAACTTGAAAACAAATTATTTATCCCTAATATTAGTATCTTTACCACTACTTCTAAGACAATCGGAGATATAATTAGTTATATATATATATATATAATACATCAATGTACATCCTGGTTCATCGTTTAATGATAGACATCCAATTATTTTAACTATGAAATTATTTTTTCCTAGAATGTTCTTCTTTGGCAGTAAACATTATTCTTTAATGATAATTAATCATATACATTGAGTATTACACAATGGAAATTTCAGATCAAATTTCATTATGTATATTTATTGATTCTCTCTTGTATATATGCACATTCACTACATTTTACTCTCGGCTATTGTAAACACACTCATACATACATACCCACCCACAAGAACACACACACACACATAAATTTATATATACTTGATATATTGGCCGCATATTGGACAAGCCAAATATCAATAAAAAATCTTAGACAGTGGGAAAGTGCGTAGCAAATAAAAATGGCTGAAGGTGTGATCGCTGTTTTGGATGCAGACATCTTTCGCTTTATAAGTTGTGAGATATATTTTGTTTATTCTGGAGTGTCAGACAATTGTAAGTATTCTTCAAATGAAACGTCTGGGTCATCCATTTTGGTTGAGCTTTTCTACCATGTCTCTTGACATTTCCCGAAACTTAAAACACAGACAAACTTATAGTTGTGGTATCACAATGAACATTATTAAATGAAAAAGTATCTAATATTTTAAATTTAAGTTAGAATTAACACATAAATTATAGAAAATTAAGTACAGAATATAAGGAAAATGAACATAGATATTATATATATATATATATATATATATATATATATATATATATATATATATTATGCTGGGACGAGGACGGATTCGTTCAATTAGCTTATACAGAACATTTTATTTACTGCGTCAACAATTGCAAGAAACGCCTTCTTCTTTATGTCGTGTCTCTTCATGACGTAAGCGATCATGGCTCTCCACAATTTCTTGCCCTTTGTAGGTCTTTATACATTTTTGATATGACACATAAACAATTGACCGGCCATCCCTTTACACACACTCGATGGATAGGTTATGCGTTTATTGCTTTTGTCTCTGTTGCCATTAATATGTCCTGTGAATATCAGATTCCAAGATTTCTTTTCTGATTAGGCGCATTAGAAATTATATCTGTCTCTTCTTGACTTGAAGTATTTGTCCTTCTTGTTTCCATTTCTGTAAAACTTAATGGTTGCTCACATTCTCGGTCAATGTTATGAAATATCATGTCGCTTGTAGTCGACGTAGTCTTACTGAATTCTGTAGTGAAGATGTAAGGCTAGCTCTCTGCTGACTATTTTCGGCGTCAGTATATATGCTATTTGGAGTGATCCAAGTCCTGTTCTTGAGAGGTGTGTTCATCTCCATAAAACAAAGGCCAAAAAAAAAACAACAAAAATCTCAAAAAAAACAATTCTTTCGAGCTTGCATTCTTGTCTTATATGATTTCTCTACTGGCTTTCAATTTCTTCTGTGAGTATCAGATTTTCCAAGCCTGGTTTCCTTATTAATTGCCATAAAATCTTCAACTGTCTCTTTCTGACTTATGTATGTGTTCTTTTTGTTTTCTGTTTTCTATAAGACTTCGTCGTTGCTCAAATGTTCGATCGATGGCATTCTCATCATCCTTCTGTAGTACCGCATTTCTTTTGCTTCAAGTCTATTCTTCTTCTGTGAAGAGATTGTCCAGCATTCATTACCATAAAGGAAAAATTTATATTACATAACAATTCAATACTCTTCTTTGTTTCTAACGCAATTTTTCTGTATCTTAATCTTTTACTTAGTTTCCAAAATGCCCCTTTCGCTATTCATTGACCCCCACTTTCAGTCCTCTGTTAAAACACTTCCCTGATATTAAAACTTTTGAACTTGTTTGATTTTGGTATCTCCAATTTTCAATGTTGGGATGTTCCCTTTGCTTACAACCATGCATAATGTCTTCTTGCAAGATGTTTAGTCCTTTCTTCTCACTTTCTTCACTACCTTCTGTAGGAATTGTTGTAGTTACTTTTCTGTGTCTACTATCAACACTGTGTCATCTGCATATTTCTGTTGTTAAGGTTATGGCCGCAAGTAATGAATCCTGGTAGGACTTCTAATTCTCCCAGAATCGTAATCGGTCCTGACCTGACATCTCGTTTTCAGTCACTTGTTCATAGACGTGATGTGATTACCCTCTGTCTTTTCTACAAATATTTTCATGTCAACTGTTCTGACGAGCTATTTTCCTTGATGCCTGACTAGATGAATTTAAGCGTGCTACTAGATTGGCATTTAGGTCCCACCTTTTAGCGTCGAAATAGTAACCAATACTTCTACACCAGCAGTTTCTTTTCTGCATTTCCCGACAGTGGAATTCCTTTCCTCTCACTGATAAATACAATCTTCAAAAATTTAAATGAAACGTCAATCGCCATCTTCTGTTACCTTGATCATCGTTCTTCTTTTTATCTTTTCCTCAATCCCACCCCACCTACATACAGTTTTTTTCTCTCACTTTCACTCTCTGTCACCTCTTGCGTACTAGTGATATTCCCGCCTTGCTTGGGGTGAAATGCTTAAAAAATCGCCTCGCTGTATAGGTTAAATAAGTCCGGTGAGAAAACACATCTTTTTCTTACACCCCCATTTATTTTTGTACATTTACTGAAACCATTTTCCATACGTATGGAGACTGTTTGCTGCCAATATAGGTTATAGACTTTTCCAAAATCTAGAAGATAGTATTAAAGGATGATATTCATTTGCATGCCAAAGTTCAGGCTTTTTTGTTATTGAGATTGCCTCCATATTGTCTGCTGAAGGGCCACAAGCTGGCACTGTTTAGGGGTATAAAAGGAAGGAAATAAACTTTCTCTTTTTGCCACGAGATATAGCAGCGAAAACAATAACCCTTTTCCATTCTGGAGAAACATTCCCTTGCCAGCCAGACGTTCAATTTCAACGCAACCAGGTGAACATCATGCATAAAGACACTGTGTATATATATATATATTTTTTTCTTCCTTTGTTTAGTTATCTCTAAACACGTATACATAATTTTCTATTTTTTTATATTGTTTGTATTTATATAAATATATATTTAAAAATTCATCACCCGTTGACTTATCTACTTAAAGAGTTTGTTTGAATGGATAGCAGAACAGGACCAAAGAGATATGGTGAAGAATACAAACTTACGCAGAACAATCATCGCCTACGTCCTAATGCGAGTTGGCGCAGAAAAAGAACAACAAATTGATGTCTGCGGTACTTGAAAATAGTGGGACATGCAACAGACCACATTAAACCATTCACTTGTGCAGGTTGTTCTGCAAAAACAGAATTTACCCAAGTCTCATTCATCGTTCTCGGCAGGAGAATCCATATATATATATATATATATATATATATATATAATTACGCATTTGATAAGTATGCTCACAATATGTAATGGAAGTTTAAATATATGAATTTGTCCGGCATGATAGATAATAGCCAGACTAATCAATATTGAACGGAATAAGATGGGCTGATCGATAAAGAAAAACAGAACGACAAATACACATACACAAAGACACACACAAAGTCACACATACACGCACAAACACGCACACACGCATTAATATATATATATATATATATATATATATATATATATATGTATGTATGTGTGTGTGTATATATATATATATATATATATATATATATATATATATATATAATTTGGATCGATTGTGGGATACCGACTTAAATTGAAACGGATAGGTATATGTCAATTAAGTTTGAAAAATTGCTTTGGAACCAGATTGAATCTGTAATCGCATTGCAGATGCGTATAATTATATTTGTGTTCTGCCACGTTGAGAACAATTTCAACGGAACACAGAAAGCAAACGAAACAAGCACGATCATAAAAATCTGGACAGCGTTATTCAGGGAGAGCGCATATGTTTAGTCTCAAACATGGCGTCGGCCACCTATTCAGTTTTAGCGCTCACCCAATTCTAATTGAATGATTAAAGCCTGTAATGTTTTACATTCTTAACAGATGGCGCTATCGAATGACGTGGAATAACATTCAAAGTACAATTGCCTGGCACATTCTATAAATTTAATAAAAAAGCTAATACATTATATAACTTTAACATAATGCAGACATCGTATACCTTTCGGACTAACTTTCAGAAAATACGCGTACACTAAGTGATACATATGTTACTGCAAGTATTAACTCTTTATTGACAAATGATATGAGAAAACTATAATAATTCGTAATTAATCAGAATTGAGTTAGTCTTGGGACAAGAGTACGCTATATATATATATATATATATATATATATATATATATATATATATATATATATATATATATATATATATGTGTGTGTGTGTGTGTTAATAGTGGCAAATTTATTTGCATCTAGATTGATATATGAACATGCGAATGTTAACTGTCTGGTAGAGTTGCGAATTTCTCACTGGCGCTGGCGGTGAGCTTTTGGGTCGGGGTAAACAGATTCTGGAAAAAAATTTGAAAGAATGAATATGCTTCTTACTTTCTATTATTTCTTTCTCAGAAAATGTTTACTTATTATTGCTGCTATCTGTCTATCTATTTATCTGTCTACATGTCTATCTCTATCTCTCTCTCCCTCTCTTTCTCTCTCTCTCTCTCTCTATCTATCTATCTATTTCTATTTCTCCTCCTTCCTCTTTATCTATGTACTTATCTATTTGCTTCTTTTCCTCTCTCTATATCTATCTACCTACTTATCTATCAATCTGTTTCTCTCTCCCCCTCTCTCTTTATTTACCTGTCTCTCTCTCCCCTTCTCTCTCTCTCTCTCTATCTATCTATCTATCTATCTATCTATCTATCTATCTATCTATCTATCTATCTATCTATCTATCTATTTCTCTTTCTCCACCTCCCTTATTATCTATCTATGTACTTATGTATCTATTTGTTTCTATCTATCTATCTATCTATCTATCTATCTATCTATCTATCTATCTATCTGTTTCTCTTTCTCCCCCTCCCTCTTTATCTATCTATATACTTATCTATCTATCTATCTATCTATAAATATATATATATATTCTTAAGAATAGAAAGAAATGACTTTCTTTCAATTTTTCCCTTCGATTTTTTCCATCTATTTATCTGTCTACCTACTGTAAATTGTCGCCATTTGAGATTATTAATTTCGCGCATGCGCGTTGTTTGCTTTTGAATTTGTCGATTACACATTATAGTTGGGTATCGTCTGTGAGAAAAGGAGCACCATGATGCAATTCACTCTGCATGAAACTCGGAGTTGTGCAATTAATGCAAATGTATATACCTACAAACAAATTACAAATGAAATGGAAAAAAATATTCCAGGTTAAAATCAAGATATATATATATATTGCTATTGTATTTAGAGAGTGGGAAAAGGCAGAGAGTAGGCAACTATATATATATATATATATATGTGTGTGTGTGTGTGTGTGTGTGTGTGTGTGTGCACGTTAGTAGGAGGTAAAATAGTATCCGAACATAAGTGGAGATAATGATGTGACAAAATTAGAAAACTATTTAGACAAAGCGTTTCCCCTCTGTATGGCACTCATCTTTAGGTCAGAATGAGTTACGAGCCCAGTGTGCAAGAGAATAGTCTCGGAATTTTGAGAAATAGGCAAGACATATCTTTATCAGATTTTACAGCCCGACATCTTTTATTTTCCCTATTGAAGTGCTTAATATCTGCTAGACTTGAAATTGGACTACTCTCAGAGAGACGTGTATTTTATTTTTTCACTATCAATTTGCACACTGCAATGTGATATGTTATCGTATATGAGCCCGGTCTGAGGTGGACAGTAGGGTATTGCGTGATCTGTACATTTTCAATGCAATTTCTACTTTCTCTGTCTTTTCAAGAATGAATGAGAGTTCAGCTTTGCTGAAAGATTACTTGTTGGCCTTAAACAGATGTGGCAGTTGGGCTACATGGGCCGAGCTCAAGTAGCTTAAATGTTAGATTGTATCTGTGGGCGCGTAAATATCTGCGCATGTGAATATTTAGTAAGTTAGAGTTTGTTTGGCACACAACTAATTGAAGGCGAATAAGTTAACATTTTTTGACTTACTTCTGGTGCTGGTTTAAACCATGCAATAATTTCATCCATCAAGTATGCTCGTGTGGGGAAATTTTGCGTATGTGTGGGATGTATTCATATATAATATTTAGATATATCTTTTTATATGTCTGACAGCATATGAATGTACCTAGATGACTGACCACTTGAGAATACCAGGTGCTGTAAGCTTGGATGCGCGGCTGGTGTAATGGATAATGGCTGAGAATTGTTAATCGGAGAGCCGAGTTCCAATTCCCGTTGGGTTTGTTATAATCATATATAAATTTGAACATCTTTAAAGGGTACGATATGTGGTTAGATTAAGTGAATTTAGTGAATCCACAGATTTTTCACACCTTTGGTGTCAGTTCTTTGATTTTGATTTTTCATGTCTTTGAACTGTTAGTGAAAGGAATTAAATAAATAAATGAACCAATTGTTTTGATTTTATCTTATCACAGGTCTTGCATTAATACGGATATAAAATCATTACTTTTCATAAATTATAAAATAGATAGATAAATAAATTGAAATTATTCCAATGCTTTAAGGATATCACATGCATCCAAATTTTTACAGAAATATCGAACGGAAATATCGAACGGAAATTTAAATGATAATTGAAAATTAATATATTTTTTAAGTGTAGAAACTTTATTTAAATTTCAAAAAAGAGCATTTTTTTCAATTTTTCAATTTATAAGTTTTCCCGGTAGTAAAGCAATGCAATAGTTCATTTTTTCTTTCGATAGTTGAAGTTTTAGTAAGCAAAGTAAACTAAGAATTAAAAGTATGATAACATATATTTCAGTTTTTAAAAGTGAAATTCATTTTATCGGACTTTTACTTCTTAGTCTATTACTTTGCTAATAATAACTTAAACTACGTAAAACAAAATAATTTAAAAAGACATTCCATTTTTTTTTACAATGTTAAAAGAAAAAACGAACAGTGTTTCTGTTAACGTGACAAATTTATTAATGATTCTTCACTTGTTAAAATTGAAATAAATATTAAAAAAAACTGATAAATTACGAATTAAAAGTCAAATATGTTTTTTCTTTTTTTTGTTTTTTTAAAAAATAAAACAGAGGCTATATAAACAAAAACAAGTTATCTTTCTTTTAATATCGTAAAAGATTTTAAAGTTTTCCCGATTTAGAAAAAAAAAAGAAGTAACGTCTTCGTTTTTTTTGTTTTTTTTTTACATATCCCCAGTTTTAATTAAAGAAAAAAATGAACACAATTGCACTATTATTTTATAATTTATCAGTGAGTAGTCATAAATACCACGTTAACAGAAACACAGAAAAAAACTGGGCATTAGATTCTAAGAAAAGGATAAAAATATTAAAAATTGATGGGTGTACGAATAATTTATATATATATATATATATATATATATATATATATATATATATATATATATATATTTGGTTGGATAGATGTGAGTTTGTGACCCTGGGTTTCACGCTTTAGCGATCGTCAGACAAACTAATAAGTACCGCGCATATAATATATAAATAATTATACATACATATATTTATTTATATTTATATACACTTTTCACATATATATATATATAAAGTTTAAGGGGTTACTGTGCATTGTAATATTGTATTCCTTCGGGGTAGGGGCTTCCTTCAAACCTGAGGGCCATTCCGGGCGCAAATCACTAGCTACGCCATTGGTTATTTCCACATATTATTAAAAGGAATTAATTGTCCTTATTTATGGAATAACCACTCTTTGTCTGTTGAATGTTGCTACACCGGGAACACGTGTAGCAAAATACAGAAAATAAGGTAGAATATATATTTAAAAAAATTCACATTATAACCAAAAACTTTTGTGTCTTCTCTGTTCTCTTTAAAATATACACTTTTCTCCCGTTAGAACAGCTATAACCTCTCCCTTCTTTCTTTCTTTCTTTCTATCTATCTATCTATCTATCTATCTATCTATCTATCTATCTATCTATCTATCTATCTATCTATCACTGAATGACCTTTCACTACAGTATTAATAATTATCGTAATCGCAAGAAGTTGGCTCCCCACGAAAGATTGTTACCTGTAGAACAACATTTCCGCCTAAAAAAACATGATTTTCAAAGCCATGCCAAATTCACTATAATTGAAAAAATAGAAATAGACAGAAAAGATAACATTATAAAAATTTTAGAGGAACATGACGACAAATGAATTTTTCGTCTCAAAACACTTCGTTCAGACGGGCTTAACCGCAAATGTAACAACAGAGATAGAATTATTATCTAATCCCATAAATCAAGCCCTAGCCACGATTATCACCCACACAAGACAGACATGTTTGCGGAGGTGTTGAGGTCTCACACTTATACATATATATATATACTAATATATACACTTACACATAATAAACACCCCCAAAGTACAAATGATAACATACACTTAACACATACACACCCTCTTCCCAGCAACCAATAAAAATGTTTTTTGAGGGAATTCTGAGTAGCATGAATCTCCCCAGCCTCTATTTTAGAAATAACTTTAGAGAGGCCGTTTGACCAACACAAGGACTGACGAAAATTAACGATAAAAAACAAATGAAAACTACAGATAAAGTTCATTTTTTTTTTCAGAAAGTCATTCATTCTTGTAGTTCACTGCTATTAACACACAGGAATTTTTTTCTCCTGAAAATAGTTGGGAAACCTAATTGAATTAATAACCCCCTACCTCACCCCCCACAAAATATCCATATAAACCCAGTATGTCTGGGAATGTTAATTTTTTAATTTTTCAATATTTCTTATTGTTCAAACACACACACACACACACACACACACACACACACACACACACACACACACACACACACACACACATATATATATATATATATATATATATAAGTGTTGTGTATGATACACCTAATTTACATAAGCGGACTACCGACCATATAAATATGGGTTGGTACCGGAAGACGGGGAAGATAGTAGAGATTAAGAAATTGAATCCAGAGACTCTGCCCGACTGCGATTTAGTCAACCCATTATGCAGGAACAGTCTTCCCAAGAATATACCAAACTAACTGTAAATATTGTGTACCTATTCTTTGTTTCAATACATTTTGTTAACGTACATTTTGTGTTGTATTATTCCATGCTTATTTAAGCTTCAACAGATAGATAGATAGATAGATAGATTAGTTCTTTAGAAATGTATATGTGATGTAATTTAAACAAAAATTATATTGATCAGAATCGATTTTTTTTCCAGTAAAATCGATAAAAACGGCCATTTTCGAAACATTTGTAGACAAACGTTAATTCTCGATTTTAAAAAACTTTCAAAAATAAAATATATATTCCTGAAACATTATTTGAAATAAATTAGCATATTAACGTTAAATTAATCTGATTTCAAACAAATATTACTTACTTATAGCATAAAATGTTTTTTGACATTGTAATGACCGCCGAACGTATTCATAGTTAAATCTGGTGGAGCAAACGATAAAGTCATTGAGTTTTTTATCACGTAAGGGGGACCACCCTTAAAATGCGGGACCTTTTAATCATAATGTAGTAGGTTAGTATAATCATACTTAGAAATTCTGTCCCTATATCACATCAAAGAAATCAAAATTCTTTTAAAAATAAAAGTAAGAGGAAGAAACACATGTGGAAAAATATTTTTACCAAGATTTCTAATATAAAAAAAAATTCTAAAATAATTTTTGTCATTTGTGAATAATTCTTGAAAATTTCATTAAGATCCGATTTTTCAAGAATTTCCAAATTAATGTGTCTGTCACCACAAAAAAAGAGGCTAAAATTTTCTATTGCTAAAAGTTAGTACAACAGCTGACGCAAGGAAAACACGTCATTTAATTAAAATTTCCAATTTCCAAAAGGAGTAAACAATTTAATTAAATATGTAAAAAATACTTTGATTCTTCCCCTTGATAATAACAAAAAGATTATGACGATAAAATTAAGTTTTCATTACGATTAGATATGCAGTATGCTGATGATTAGGTGATTTTGTAGGTATACCTATATCTATGAGATGAGGTGTTATTATATTTCTGAGATGAGGTGTTATAATATTATTATTATATTGTCTTCGTCTTTGTCGCCATACTTATTACAACGTTTCGGCCGTTTTAGGGTACGCTTCTTCAGGCGGTTGGAATGTCGAATTGAATCCTTTATTTCGCTCACTGTGCCATGTTTTTAATGTATTTAATTTACCTCCGAAAGATCTCTACTGCCTTAACCGAGTATTGAACTCACACTCTTTGGGTCCTGTCACTGGATCTAACCAACGCCTTTATCCACTGTGCCATGTTTCCTTGAGGGTATGAATTTCTGGGTATTAAAACTTAATGTCTTCATAACTATTTTTTACCAGTGCTCATATTGAAAATTTGCTGTTATCCTTGCATGTTTTTACAAGAGCTCATATTGCAACTTTGCTGTTATCATTGATTTTCTCTGGCACTCCTTACTACTGGTTCCCATATTGTATTTATTTCTATGCTTGGTCGGCTCAGGAGATTTTTGTGGCCTAGCATATGTGCTGATTCTTCAAATTTACGAATTTTCCAATGATGTTCCTTGTCTATGATCTCAACATGATCCCACAGGGGGCGGTGATCTCCCTTCTCTCTCCATATGTGGTCAGCCACGGTTGATTTTTCTACTTCCCCTCGTGTTACAGCTTTCTGCTGTTCTTAAAGCCTTATCTTAAGGGGGCGGACCTGTATCTCCTTTATATTTCTTTCCGCAGCTGCATGGGATAGCGTACACACAGTCTTTAGTCATGTTCCATTTTATGAGGGGGGTCTTACGCGGGAGGAATATCTGCGTAGTGTCGTCAAGATTTTGAAGGGTGTCCTGATGTTATATGGACCGGAGATCCTTTGTATTTTCTCTGATAACCCCTTCACATATGGCAGGCATACTGTTTTCTGAGTGTTGTTGTCCTCCTCCACTTGTACCCGCCTATCCCATCTTTGGGGGGCTGCTGCCATTTACCCAGGGTAGTTTTTACGTTGTAGGGTACTACTTATACTGACCAATTCTCTATCTAACGTCTCTGGGTCGCTACTTATGACTTTTACCCGATGTTGTAATCAACGGACGATCCCTTTCTTTACGCTGTATGGATGTATTCGTACACCAACAAAATTTTAATTTATTGTATTTCCGACTAATCAATAAACATACTTTTCATTTAATTAACTGTACACAGATGCATAATTACTAAATATGCATAGAAAGCAACCAAAAAAATGATTAAATAGAAATAAATCCCATTTATCCATTTTAATGTGTGAAAAATATTCGTACAATGCAAATTTCAGATTTAAAATTTTTTAAATCGCTTTAACACTCTAGATTATTCAAGGTGAATATTCTAGAGTGTTCTAATAATGTTATCAGTATTTATTTTAGCCTAAAATATACAGAGCATTTTGTAACTGATATTCGTGAAAGAAGGTTTTCCTCCTGCCAAGAGGTAAAGGATTGACAAATTTGCAAAAACTGATTGTTAGGCTCTGGAAAGAAGGTAAAAGTTACAGGAAAATCTCAGACAACGTGGATACTCCATTTACTACTATTACATCATTCATTGCAAAGTATAAAACCATTCAAAACTGTTAAAAGATAAAGATAAACAGAGTGTTCCACGGAAGATTTCTGCAAGTTCTTCGAGGAAATTAATGCGTCAAATTAAACAAAATACAATAGTTACTCGTCAGGAGTTGCAGGAAGATTTGCTTTCATCAGGAATCTGTGTCACTAAACGGACAATAATCAATGAAATTCATAGGAACAATTTAAAGTCACGCTCCCCTAGGAAAACTCCACTGCTATTGAAAAGACAAAGAGATGCCAGGTTGAAATTCGTTTGTGAACATAAGGATAAATAATAATCGTTTGGGAAGGAGTATTATGGACAGACGAAACCAAAATTAAGTTGTTTGGACATAATTCTAGAAATCATGTATGAAGGAAAGATGGCAATGCAGTTCCAACAATAAAATTTGGTGGTGGTAGCATCATGGTTTGGGGAGGTTTTTCTGCAAAAGGTACTGGCAAGATACCAGTAATAGATGATAGAATAAATGCCGCAGCATATCAAAGTATTTTGGAAGCAAATTTAATGATTTCGGTTGAAAATCTTGAACTTCCTCCTGATTGGATCTTCCAACAGAATAATGATCCTAAAAACACTGCAAAATTTACGAAGAAATGACTTTCCTAAAAAATAATGTAAATGTCTCGAATGGCCAAGTCAGTCCCCAGATTTAAACCAAATCAAGAATGTGTGGCCTTATTTGAAAATTCAAATCCAATCGAGAGCTCCACCCAACATCTCGGATCTGAAGATCATATGCAAAGAAGAATGGAACAAAATACCAACTAAAATTTGAAAATCGTTAATTGAGAACGTCAAGAAGAGGATTGATGCTATAGAATTGAATAATGGTTATTCTGCAAAGTATTACATGAAAATTATGTATTCTTTTTTGTATTGTACGAATACTTTTATCACCCATTAAAATTGATAAATGGGATTATTTCTATTGAATCAATTTTTTCTGTTTTCTATGCATATTTAGTTATTACGCATCTGTGTACAGTTAATTATATGAAAAGTACGTTTATTCATTAGTTGGAAATACAATAAATTAAAAATTTGTAGGTGTACAAATATTTGTTCCCGCCATTGTGTATATATATATATATATATATATATATATATATATATATATATATATATATATATATATATATTATTAGTAGGGATAATTCCAAGGAGTATATAATTCAAAAGAGAGCTCAACGTAAGAACAGAGCAAATATAATAATGAAAGCGGAGTTCTTAGAAATCTATAGGTGATAGTTTATTTCATGAGATCAGGCTCAATCTTTACAGACCAAAAAAATTGACAACAATAAATGGATTGTAAATGTATCCAGGCACAAGCATAAAAAAAAGGAAAAAAGA